GAAATCGGAAGATAAACGATACCCTAGTCCTAAGGGAAGGGAGAGACAGGGTTAGGGTTAGGGTTAAAGTCAGGGTTGGGGTTAGGGTTAAAGTCAGGGTTGGGGGGCGCGGAGACGTTCAGACAGAGCTGCAGGAAGCTGCTGTTTACCGGGAGCATAATGCTGCTGACCCCTGCTGGACAGAGGGGGAACTGCAACGGAGGGAAGGGAGAGACAGGGTTAGGGTTAGGGTTAGGGTCAGGGTTAGGGTTAGGGTTAACCCTATCCCAGCTTCCTAGAGAGCCTCGGCTGGATGTCCGACTCCGCCCACATTCAAGTTGGCCATTTTTATTATATTTATATATTATTTATTTATTATATATTTTATGTAAATATATAAAAAAATATATAGATTATTATATATTTAAATGTATATTGTTTTATTTTTTTATTTATTATATATTATCTATTATATTATTTATTATATATTTTTATTATATCTTATTAGGTCATGTGACTAGCAGCTTTCTGAGGTGGAAAAGAAAGTTTACTGTCTATACGAAATCAGAAGATAAACGATGACCTAACCCTAACCCTAACCCTAAACCTGACTTTAACCCTATCCCTATCCCTATCCATAACCCTAACCCTAACCCTGACCCTAACCTTCCATCCTTCATAATTGTGAGAAATAAATATTTTTTGGTTAAACTTGTTTGGACTTATTGTACAAACCTATTTAACATCCACTTTTTTAACATAATATTATGGATAGAGTTTAATTCAGTGTTTGCAAGATTCATTCCACTATTTTTAAATTAATGTCTATATCGCCATGAAGCAATTAGGATTTTCTTCCCTGGGATCTTCCTATTGGTTACCTAATCAAAATGGCCGACTTGGATGACGGACGTGGAAACAGACACTTTCAGCCGTTTGAAGAAATAAACCGGAAAGGGAAAATTATTCCATAAAAGGAGACATTAGATAAGCCACAGACAGTCGAGCCCCAAAAAAACCCAGAAACAGAAAATAACTGAGCAGCAGGTGAGTTTTCCTTCAATATTAACACAGAAACGACTCTTTAAAGGATTTTTTTAGCTCTATTCTGCTGTAGACGGCAGTTTTGGTGTTTTTTAACCCAGTTTTTCCTTCAGGATTAATACAGAAATTACCCTTTAATGGTCCATTAAAGCTTTTTGCTGCTGGAGATGAGATTTTTAACAGTTTTTAACCTAGTTTTTCCTTCAGAATTAACTGTGAAACTAATCTTTAAAAGTCCATTGAATACTTTTGATGGTTTTTAACCCAGTTTTTCCTTCAGGATAAACTGTAAAACGACTCTTTAAACGTCGTTCAATTTCTTTTCTGCTCTAGTCAACCATTTAATTTGTTTTTAACCCAGTTTTTCCTTCAATATTAACTCTGAAACTAATTTTTAAAGGTCCATTAAAGCTCTTTGCTGCTGGAGATGAGACTTTAAATGGTTTTTAAACCTGTTTTTCCTTCAATATTAACTCTGAAACGACTCTTTAAAATTCCATTAAAGATCTTTTCTGATTTAGATAAAACTTTTATTGGTTTTTAAACTGTTTTTCCTTCAGGATAAACTGTAAAACAACTCTTTAAAGTTTTTTTTAGCTCTTTTCTGCTGTAGACCACAGCTTTAGTGGTTTTTAAACCCGTTCTTCCTCAAGGTTAAACTGTAAAACGACTCTTTAAAGGTCCATTAAATTTATTTTTTTCTGGAGATGAGACTTTTCGTGGTTTTTAACCCAGTTTTTCCTTCAATATTAACTCTGAAACTAAT